GGCCCTCGTTTTCTTCTCCTCCAGCCTCTGGCGCGGGCAGCTGGAGGGATGCCCTGGGCCGCGGCCCAGCGTCCACGGGCGACGCGACGGGGTCCGGAGACGATTCTTGCGGGCAGGGTTCATGTCCATCTGCACTGCACCTTGGAGTTTCGGGCTCCCTTCCGCAGACACCCGAAGCGCAGTGGATATGGATCAGAGCCTGGCCCCTGGATGCTAAATTTCTATCCATCCCCTCCACTGCGCCTCGGCCTTTTGGCGCCCCTTCCCAGAAATTCAAGTCGCAGCGGATATGGACATAAATCTTGCCCGCAGATTTGAGCGACGACAAGAAGGGAGCCTCACGCGAGATGGCACAGCGACCTTGCGCGGTGGTTTAGGCGGGCAGCCAGCGTGGCACATCGCGTGGAGAAGAGGGTGCTTACACTGGAATATCGGCGCAATCGGCTCCGTTTTCTTCCGTCGCTAGATTGTTGGCGGCGCGCCGAGGGGGTAAGGGATCGCAGCGCGTCCTCGTCCGTGAATGTGGTGGAGGTGCTGGGCGTGGGGGACTTGGAGCACCCGCGCATTCTGCCGCGGGAACGGCGCTTGCCCAATAAACGCGATACTGAGTCGGGGGAAGGATTCCACAATCGAGAGGAAAAAATGCTTCAGCCTAAACGGCTACGGATGAAGGAGAGGACGATTGGGGACAAAGAGCGGAACAAATACAAGAACTCACGACTTCCTGCATTTACGTTCCACCGCCGATGCTGCCGAACACATACGTATGGAATAGGGACGGCGACCAGCTGATCGCCCAGAGGAAGAAGGCGCTGATGAGCGAGAGCATGCAAGCAATGGAGACATGCAAATACCTGCCACATGAGCTCATGTCTGGGGCTGTCCACGCACAAGCCCGAGCTGGGCCGCGAACTAGGAGGGGTCCCGAGAGGTGCCTCCCTCCTCCTCCTACTCCGGCGGCATGCCCAGGGGGGAAGGCGAAGGGGGCGGGCCTTTTCAGAAGGCTCAGAAAGCTTCGGGCCGACATCTTCCAAGCCTTCTCCGAAGCCGCACCGGGCTTCTCAGGAGGCGCGAGGGCCTCTGAGAAGCCCCGCCGCCGCTTCAAGAAGGTCTGCCCCCTCTCACCTTCCCGCTCGGCGCGCCGCAGGGAAGGAACAGCTGGGCTTCTGGAGCATGCTCGATGTAGCGGGCATCTCAAACGCGCAGGGGTGCACGCAAGGCCAGTGCTGGCGTTGCGCGTGTGAACATGCATTCTCCGCATGGCCGGCATCCGGTGGGCAATTGAAGGTAGCACCAGGGGGCTCGCCCCGCGGTCCTGCCGTCCTGCTCATCCTCCACCTTCTCTTCCTCCTCCTCCTCCTCCTCCTCCTCCTCCTCCCACTCCTCCTCCTCCCGCTCCCCCTCCACCACCTCCCTCTCCCGGGTCGTCCCTCCCCCTCCACCACCTCCTCCACACCCTCCACCACCTCCTCCTCCTCCTCCTCCCACTCCCCCTCCACCACCTCCTCCTCCTCCCACTCCCCCTCCACCACCTCCCTCCCTCCCCCATCCGCCCTCCTACCTCTCTTCTCCCTCTTCCTCCACACCTCGGGGGAGGAGTGGGGGTGAGCCCCAGACACGTCCAAGCCTTGGGCCAGACCCGCGCGCTGCACAAACCTGCCCTCTCAACTGGCCGATCGGCTCCACTGGGCGGGCCGCGGACTCAACGACCGCGTCCTCCCAGCCATCCTCCTCCTCCTCCTCCTCCTCCTCCTCCTCCTCCTCTTCCTCCTCCTCCTCCTCCTCCTCCTCTCCTCCTCCTCCTCCCCCTCCTCCCCCTCCTCCTCCTCCTCCTCTTCCTCCTCCTCCTCCTCCTCCTCCTCCTCCGCCTCGATGGGACGACCCACCGAAGCTACAACTCCGGACGCCGAGATGGGTGCAGACAGAAGAAGTACGATGCCCAACAACAAGTGTCGTCCAAAACCGACAGCGGCCGCTGTTGATGTGCAGGCGGCCTTCCGTCTCAACTGGGCACCGTCCGCAGCGACGCCGACAGCAGATCCTGCTCCAACTGACATGTCGATCTCTGTGCCCATCTTTTACGTACAGTAGGAGCTCGACCACAAGAAGCCTTCCACAAGACACCCAACCCTGCGAGCCCAGGACGTCCATCGATTTTTGGTGTGGGGACGTCAGTCTTTCCATCGCAAAACCATCGAAACCCAAGAAACCCAGGGCACCCTGGAGGCAAGCAGGGTGTTTCTCAGCGTGGGTTTCCACTGTGCCCATTCCAATCGTACCGAACAGCCTGCAACTCTGGGGGGGGGGGGAGCTCGTACCCATCCACTGGAGGGGCCGCCGGACCTGCCCTCCTCCAGCTCTTGGGCGCGCCCCCGCTCCTTCGCGCGCTCGAAGCGGCGCACGTTCTTCCTGCGGGGGCTGGCGGACCCGCGCGGACAAGACGTCTTAACAAACGCGAGGCGGGGACATCTATATCTCAATCGATCTGTCTATGTATATATATATATATATATATATATATATATATATATATATACCTATCCATCTATATATCTATCTGTCTGTATCCGCCGCATGTGCACCCTGCGCCCTGGGACCCCAGCAGGCGGTGGCTATGGCTGTATTTGGGCACCAGGGGGCCCGAATGTGTCCAAATCCACCGCCTGTCGAGGTCTCCGAAAATCCATCCTCCAGGCGGACGTTATGCGCAAATCCCCGTCTGGGAACAAGGAGACAGACAGCTCCACAACTTCGCACTTCACGCGGACACTTATGCAGATGGAGAGTCCAGCTGGTGCCCGTGTGGCATAGTGATCAGGAAATGGGAAGAGGCACGATGATGGAAGGTGGGGGTGCCGAGAAGAAGATGCCGAGATGTGAAGATGGGACCTGGGCTGCACAGGCAAACCAGGAGCTCCAGGAATGCGACGGCACACGAATGCGCTCAATGAGAGCGTATACATGCAGGAATACATGATAGCACGTAAACGTGCGTACCATCTCCTCCTCCTCCTCCTCCGCCTTCTCCCGGAACTGCGACGGAACGCTTTTTTCCCCTTCTCACGACGTCGACTCCAGAAATCTCAACCCATTCCCGGCTCGACCTTATCGCACGCCGGGATCCCAGTGTTGGACGATTGTGCCAGGCGGCGACCGCCAAGAACCAGAGGAGCGCCTACGACCGCCGAACAGGGCCCCAGACGCCTCAAGATTGCCAAGCAGGGTCCCCTAAGAGTGGAATCTCACCTGCTCCCGTTGAGTCGTTGAGCATTGTTAGCATTCCTCAATATCTGGCTCCACATGGCTCGAAGACGAGCTTGTTGAGCCAACAGAAGGTGTTCAGGAGTACCGAAGACACTCCGAAGATAGCCTTGACTGGCATCTCGCATGACCTCAGGACGGCTTTGTTTGAATTTGCGCTGGCACACGTTCTCCAAACCCGTTTGCGTAAGTATGGGTTTGGCACGTGTCCTTATGTCAGACAATGCGAATCCTGACAAGCATGTCTTCCCATGCATACGTGGTTCCATGAGGAGCGTTCTATGTGTACACTTCCCTTATGTAATGACGAATCCCATCCAGTGGCTGTTGAAACATGTCAATGTTACTACACCAGCCCTCTGGGCTAAGGTGGTACAAGGAATTTATCTCTTCACTCTTCCCAGACCCTTCCTTTCCCTGCTCGACAGACGGGCTTACCCCTCCCCCTACCCCTCCAGTGGGTCTGGACAGAGGGGGGGGGCGAGGGGCTACAGCGTCCAAGATTGCCCAAGATGGATCCAAGAGGAGGGCCCCAGATGCTGCAAGAAGGTCTCCAAGATTCTAAGATGGCCCACGCTACTTCAAGGTGGCTTTAAGATAGCCTCGAACTTACTCCCAAGAGGTCCCCAGGCCGCCCCAAGACGCTTCCCCAGACGCCACCCGACGCATCCAAGAGGCCCAAATCCTTCAAATACCTGACGAGCATCAGTGTGGTTTGCCTTCTCACCTTTTCGATGGCCCCAAGATGGCCTAGGAGAGCCTCACGAAGGGCCCAAGGAAGCCCCCCAACGGCCCCAATAGCGCCTCACGGCGTTATGTTTCGGCTTCCGGAGGGGGGTGGGGGGGGCAGCTTTCCCCTCTTGTTGGCTACGGGGCCCACGACCGTCCCAAGAAGGCCCCCCCGCCGAAGAGCCCAAACACGACCCCGAGACCCGCCCGCGGCCACAGCCTGGAAGGCCCCAAGGAAGAACAACCAGGAAGGCCCCAAGAATAACCCCCCAACAACCTCTCAAAACAACACATCCGCAAAGGCCGCCTCCTCATCTTCGTTCGTTCCTTGTTTCCTTCCTGTCTTCCTGCCTCCTCCCCCCTCCTCTTCATCATTCTTATCTTGCCTCTTTACTCCTGCCTCCTTCTCCTCGTCCTCCTCCTCCTCATCCTCCCTCTCTCCCCCTTCCCCTCCCGTTTCCTCCTCCTCTGCCTCCTCCTCCCGTTTTTTGTTGGTCCTTCCTCCCCGTATTACCAAACATAGCAATCACCCCGCCCCAAGATAGCTCCAACATTGCCCCCAGAAGACACCAACAACAAAAATTACACAATGGGATGGGACCAACTGTTAAATCATTCACGATCAGTTCCCGCCGTTTCTGCGACCCGACACGTTTCCAAAGCGGCAGTTCCACTGCATACTTCCACACTTACCTGATTCGAGCAACTCTCCTGGCGATCGTTTCTGGATGGGCTGGTGGAAACTCGCGAAACGCCAAATGGTGCACTCATGATTATGTTCATCGTGGCGTCCTGTCGCCACTGAAGGGCAGAAACTTGTAGACATAAGCACTGCGAGAACGGAGCACATGTGTTAGAAACGTTGCACGCGTATCATTATGCGCACTTCTTCCACTTCCGTCCTTCCCACCCACCCGTTTCATCCTGTTAAGTTTTTCTCTCCCTCTTCCTTCCCATCATCATCATCCTCCTCATCCTCCTCTTCCCCTCACCTCCCCCTATCCTTCCCCCCTATCCTTCCCTCCCCCTTCCCCCCCTTCTCTTCCTCCTCCTTCTCCTCCTCGCCCCCTCCTCCTCCTCCTCCTCCTCCTCCTCCTCCTCCTCCTCCCACTCCTCCTCTTCCTCCTCCTCCTCCTCCTCCTCCTCCTCCTCCTTCCCCCCCTTCTCTTCCTCCTCCTCCTCCTCCTCCTCCCCCTCCTCCTCCTCCCTCCTCCTCCTCCTCCTCCTCCTCCTCCTCCTCCTCCTCCTCCTCCGCCTCCGCCTCCGCCTCCGCCTCCGCCTCCGCCTCCGCCTCCGCCTCCGCCTCCGCCGCCTCCTCCGCCTCTGCCTCCTCCTCCTCCTCCGCCTTTTTGTTCTGACCCTCTCCCCTTTCCACTCCTCCTGCCTTCGGCCTCTGGACGAGGGCGGGCGACGCCAGGGTTCCTGTGCCCCGCGCTCTGCAGGTGCGTCTCCATGAGCTTCTCCTCCCTCGCCCGCCCTGGCCGTCACTGCCTCCCCGAAGGGGGAGAAGAACGGGGGGGGGAGGAGGGGGGGGGAGGACAAGGTGCCCAGGGAGACGCGAGTGAATAGACACAACTCTCAGAATCCCAAGATGTCTCAATGATTCAAAGGTTTTCGTCTTCCCATGTATTTCCCATCTTCCCCATATTTTCACTGGAACCGACGTTTGATACTGCGTGTTAATTTTTCCTGGGACGAAGCGGGGGGTAGGGCAGCGGAGAGGAGGAGGAGGCGGATCACCCGGCTCGCGTCGGCCGCCAGCGTGAGCGCCGCGAGGAGGAAGGTCGAGGGAGGGTCGAGGAGGAGTAGGAGGAGGAGTTCCTCCTGCTCTGTGCCCCCCCCCGCACAGCTCTGGGGCGTCGCTCGCGACTCCCGAGGCAGCTCCTCGGGAGCCACAGGGCCTGGACGCCCCCCTCTGTCAAGCGCCCCCCAGGGGTGGCTGCCCGCCCATCCCTGCACTCCCCAAATTCCATCCTCTCTTCAGTATGAGGTACGCACGATACAGGAATCTTGCTGCAATGAATCGCTTGCCATCTCTCGGACGTCCCTTCCCTGTGCACTTTTCGTTTTCGTGCGTTGATTGTTCCGCAATCTTGCTATACGGAATCGCTCGTATCGCTCGTGCATGTTTCGATTTCGTGCGTGGATTTTTCCGCGAAGTGATCTAATATGCTCCCCGATTGTCCTCGCGGATAGCATGCACACGTCCGAGCGATACCAAGATCAAGGGCACATGCTCTTCGTGCACACTTGACCTAAGGTGCCCCAAGGATTGTCATAGTATTTACGGTATAACGAACTTCTGTGGGGCAGTTCCCGGCTGTCGACGTCTGTTCCTTCTGTCCCCCGCCCGTCTTCTCGCCTTGAGTACTCGAGTTCGCGCCAATTGTCCGCAGTGGGCAAGGAGACGAGACCCTGCAAGAGGAGCTAGTAGAGGAGCTGAGGGAGAGGGAGGAAGAAGAGGATGAGAAGGAGGGGCTGTGGGTACACACATGCCCGACTCCGGAAACCCTGAATCCAAACATGTGCACGCTCGTGCTTACTTCCGCCGCCTTCCGCCAACGGACCTGCCGCCGCTTTACTTCTGCTAAAGGCAAGCCTCGATGAAGGCGATGACCTTTCTGGAACGCTGCATCCCTGGAACGGCATGCGAGCAAGTAAGAGCGAACGCACTGCCAAACACAAAAGTTAACTCTTGCCCTCCGGTGCGACCATATCTTCGTGATTGAACCCTCGACGCTCGCGCTGGGTGTTCTTACTTATTGCTGGGAGGTGCCCCTGCCTTCGTTGGGCCACCTGGCAAAATCAACAACTGCACCAGCCTCTGGTGTGGGAAATCCTCACAAATCCGACTCTCCGATTTACCACGGGCTCCCGTCCTCCTGCGCGTGTCACGGAATCTGCGTCTTCGAAGCCACATGCTTAATACTATGATCACAAACTATACATCTCCGCCTCCCAGCATTCATCGTGTCTCCTTAATTTCGGAGATGCAGCACCTTCGAGCCCTGTGTTCCTAAGTGTTCCAATGATGTTGCCTCCTCCTCCTCCTCCTCCTCATCCACATCTTCCTCACCCTTCTTCGGCCGCTGCTCCTCCTCCTTGTGCTCCTCCCTCCTCCCTTCCTGAGCCTCGATCGCTATGGTGCGTTCAACGTTCACAGTCTGTACCGTCGTCCGATTTCATGGCGCATCAGCAGGGGAGGCACGAACGGACGTTTGAAGTGGAGACTAGTGTGTGTGTGTGCCAATCAAATTAACCATCCCTCATGCTGCTCCCCCTGGCGCTCGTTCATGAGAATCTTGTCAGGGCAGAGCTCGCACCGAAACTGTCCGCGGATTTGCTTCTCCTCCTCTGGTGGCATCAAGGGCTCGTCGTCGGACTCCGAGCCTTCCTCGTCCTCGTCTTCGGACTGGTCATCCTCGTCCTCCTGCGGGGCCGGGGACAAACTGCCCGGAGGCACTGCGGCACCGTGGGGGAAGGGGCAGTGGAATGGCTGCGGCGAGGCTGGTCCAGCGGAGGTGTGCCAAGACGCCGAAAGAGATGCCCGGGCCGCCGACGTCTTGGTGCACACTCCGTGCGCAGGCCCCCGTGCGCTTCCGACGCGTTTTCCCGGAAGGGCGGGCTGCTCGCCCCCGGACGCCTTGCTTGCCGGCGGCATCCCGGGGGCGCCGGGCAGAAGCACGGCCCCTCGGGATGCCGAGGACGGCGGGAGGTCCAGTCCGATGATCCTCAGGACGCGCGTCAGCGCGGGCGTGCGCTCGTCCGCCGAGGCCCTGCACGGCACGACGCGGGAGGCGCAGCGAGGGCCGACACGGGCTGCGCGCTGCCGGAGGAGCCCAACGGGGCAGACACACACACACACACACGCATGGGGACAACGCGCACCCTGAGGACCATCGATCCCCGGCCCCAGGGGGGGGGGGCTGCCAGAGGTGTTCCCAGTGGCCCGAGGGAGGCCCCCGCGGCCCCCGGAGGGCGCGGGACGCCGGGGGGAGGGGCACCTCGCGGGCCTGGCGCACCCTCGGCCCCCGCCCGGCACAGAGCTGCCGGAGGCGCCTGGGCCTCCGAGCCCAGCGCCGTGCGCGCGCCGAGCGAGGGCGAGGGCGAGGGCGAGCGCGCGGCGAGCGGGCAGGGGCGGGCCCCAATGCACGAAGGGGAGGGCGGCAGGCTGCGTGCAGGCAGGCGGGCCCGCCTGCGGCAGCTGAGGGAGGGAGGAAGGACGCACGCCTCGGGGGGGGGAGGAAGGACGCGCGAGAGCAGAGAGGTGCGCGCGATCGGGCCCACCCAAGTCCAGGCTCGACGCGGCTGGATGCGGGGTCGGCCAGGTTGCTCAGGCGGGCTCCACCACTCACCCCCCTTCGGGGGGGGGGGGGGGGGCACTCCGGGCTGAGGGGCCAGGGCGCCGACACGTGCTGCCCCTCTCTGGGCCGAGCGGCGCGCGGGCGGGCGGCCTGCGGGGGGGGGAGGGCGGGGGCGGCGGTGCTCAGGCAGGGCCTGCGGCGCAGGGAGGGCGAGGCCGTTCTCTTGCCCCCCAACCCCAAACCCCTTCCCAGGCCGCCCGCTCCGCCGTCCCTCCCGCCAGGGAGGGAGGGGGGCCCGGGGGTCAGGGCCTCCGAAGCCGGGCCACTGCTGAATCAGAGCTCTGAAACTTCCACCTGCAGGGAACGACCCACGGCTGCAGCTGTCTCGGTCGCGCCGAAGGACGGAGCCCTGGTTTGCCGAAGTCCCCGTCGGGGGGCCCTGCTGGGGGGCGCAAGGGAAGGGCGGCCGGCTGAAGGCGAGGCACGCGCGGATCGCAGCCGCGAAAGTCTGAAACGGATGGGCGCTCCACCGTCGATGTCGTCGTTCGTCGTCCAGGGTGGGGGGGCCCTTCGTCGTCGTCGTCATGGTCGTCCTTCGTCGTTGTCGTCGTCGTCGTTTCTGGTCCTTCGTCGTTGTGGTCGGTGTCGTCCCTCGTCGTCAAGGGTCGTCAAAGGGTTCAGCCGAATGCTTTTGGCCTTTCGTGGGAGGGCCCTCCTCGCCGCGGTCGCCCTTCCTTCTCGCGATGCCGGCCAGACTCAGGTCGGGCATGTCCTCCTACAGGCGGATTTTGGGGGACAAGTCAAGCACAAAGAAAACGCAAAACGATGCGAAACTAGCCGACAAATCTTTCCCATGGTACAACGTACCAGGTGATTGTTTATGAACAACTTGTTTTGTTTGTTTTGACTGTTTTTGACTTGTCTTCCCAAATCCGCCTGTAGGAAAACGTGCCCGACCTAATTCTGGCGGGAACGCGCACCGGGAGAGGTCGAGGGCCCGGCTTCTCTGCCGTGGGTCGGCACGAGGGCCATGGTCGGTGGCGAGCGACGGGGGGAAGCGAGGAGGAGAAGGCCTTCTTAGAAGGCGGCGGGGCTTCTGAGAGGCCCTCGCGCCTTCTGGGAAGTGCTCTGCATGTGTCTTCGGGGGAGGCTCACAGGAACCTTCTCGGGAGGCCGCGGGACTTCCGAGCCTTCTGAGCAGGCCTTCTCCCTCTCGCTCCCCCCCCCGGGCTCTCGCCGCCGACCTGGGGGCTGCACGGGGGCCGTGAAAGGGAAACGGCTCCGAAACTCTCGGCCGATCTCGGCCGGGCCTATTGCCGCATTGGGGGGGGGGCAGCGCACGGGGGCGAAGGCGGGTGCGCCTCTCGAGCACCTCCGGGGCCCCACGGGCTCCCCCACGGGCCCTTCCTTGCAACCCTCGATGCGCCCCCCGTGCACTCGGCGCGCGGGGGCGGACCGAGGGTGGCGGAGAAGGGCTTAGCAAACGTCTCAGAAGGCCGGGGGACTGCAGTGCGGGCTCTACCACAGGACGCCTTCCACAAGGAGCCCCGGCCCAGAGACCCCTGCAGGAGGTCCTTTGCATATTTTTTGGTATAGGAACGTCACGATTTCCACGGCAAAAAACCATCGAAGCCCAAGAAGCCTGAGGCAACCCCCATGCGCGTAAATATCTCAAGGGGCCCTGGGACACACAAAAAAATACAACCGGATTCCCCATATTTTCCAATATTTTCTGTGTTTTTGTCTTCCCCCCCTCTTCCCGTATTTTCCAATATTTTCCTGTGAGTCGACGATTAATTGTGTCTGTGTGTTTTTCCCCCTCCTGATAATCGCCGCCCCGGCACGACACGCCCGATGCCAGGCTCCCGGCTGTCTTTCTGGGGCGCCGGGGCTCTCAGAGCCCGGACGTCCCTTCCCCCGCTCCACGACCTCATCGTCCCCCCCCCCCCTGTGTGTCGCCCATGCCAGGGCCTCGACCCCCTCCCCTCCCCTCCCCTCCCCCCCCCACCTTTCGCCCTCACAAGACGAGGCCAGGACGATGAGAACATCGGGCGAGGATGGCTCGAGAATCGCTGAGATCACGCGGCTCTGGAGCATGTCTCGGTCGCCGCGGCCTTCTCGGAGCGCTCTGGAGCGCTCTGAGAGCGTGCCGGAACGCTCTGGAACGGATTTGTCCTCGTCCCGGCCCCGCCCGACCCTGCACTTTCCCAGACCCCCGACGTCGTGATTTCTTCACAACGTCGACCCCCAGAGGTCTCGACCCCTTCCTCTGGACCGTGTCTTCGTTCCGAGCCGTTTTCTGACGGTCCCGAGGCCCGGCAAAGGCTCCCAGAGGCAGAAAATAGCGAAAAAGCTGCCGTCGCGATGTTTTCACGGCGCGAGGGGGTCTGGGTTTAAGTCGGGCCTGTCCCCCTACAGGGGGTTTGTGGACGAAAAATAAAAGATACCAGAAACAAAAATTCAAACATGGTCTAACAATAGTCTGGGGACTATTTTGGGAATATGTTTTTCCCCCCCCCCCCCCCACTTTGGAGCATTTTGGAGGTAATTTTTCAATTTCTCGTCGAAAATTCCCCTGTAGGGGGACACGCCCGACATAAGTCTGGGTTTCGCTTCCCGGGACGCAGCGCCCGGGCTCGCTCTCCGGGCTCGCTCTCCGGGGGCGCTCCCCGGGGAGCCGCCTCGAGGTGCAGAGCCGGCGCGCGGCCCCCGTGGCCCCGCGTGGCCCCACGGCCGCGGGGGAGCCCCGGCGCCTCGTGGCAGCTCGGGTCCATCGCCTGCCCCGTCGTTCGCGTGCGTGGGCTTCGGTCGGGCACGTTATATTAGGGGAGCGAAAAGTGGCATAGACATAAAAACTCGGAGGCCAGCGCAGATTTCTCGGATCGGCGCTGGGGCCCCCCGGCGGCGCCTCCGGCGCCGCCCCTGGCGCGCTCCGCGCGCCAGGGGGGGGGGGGTCCAGCGCCCCTGGCGCGCTCCGCGCGCCGGAAGCTGGGCGAGGGCTGCTAAAACCATGGCTGCTAAAACGGCCCTCCCGGAAAGAAAAAACAACTTCCGGGAATGAGGCGCGGCACGCGAAACAGTCAACGGGCTTCTTCCCGGAGGGACGAAGACAACTTCTCGGAGGTCGATTTTAGCAGCCACGGATTTAGCAGCCCTTGCCCGGCTTCCGACCATCGTTCGCGGGGTTAGGTCGGGGATGTCCTCCTGCAGGCGGGTTCGGGAAGACAGGTAAACCGCAGTCAACGAGTACCCCAACATAGTCGGATAGTCAGTTGAGCACGACACATCGTCACCCAATTATTCCCAACCATCTTGTGGTGTTGGGTCCTCGTTTTGAACAGACGGTCCCCGCGTTCCTCTTCTCCGCTCCTCCTCCTCCCCCTCCTCCCCCTCCTCCTCCTCCTCCTCCTCCTCCTTCTTCCCTGCGTTTCACCCAGCCAGTACAACGTTTCGTGCCAACATAGGGAGCTCCACCGAAGCCCCCAGTGGCACCGCCCGCATGCGCCCGCCACCACCCAGCACAGCCCTTGCTCCCTGCGTTTCACCCACCCAATACAGCGCTTCGTGGCCCCAGAAAGGGAACTCCACGGAAGGTCCCAGTGGCACCGCCCGCATGCGTCCGCCACCCTCCAACACAGCCCTTGCTCCCTGCGTTTCACCCACCCAGTACAGCGTTTTGTGGCCCCATAAGGGGGCTCCACCGAAGGTCCCAGTGGCACCGCCCGCATGCGTCAACCACCACTCAGCACAGCCCTTGCTCCCTTCGTTTCACCCACCCAATACAGCGTTTCGTGGCCCCATAGGGGGGCTCCACCGAAGGTCCCAGTGGCACCGCCCGCATGCGTCCGCCACCACCCATCCCAGCCCTTGCTCCCTGCGTTTCACCCACCCAGTAAAAGGGCTTCGTGGCCCCATCGGAAACTCCACCGAAACTCTCAGTGGCACCGCCCGCATGCGTCCGCCACCACCCAGCACAGCCCTTGCTCCCTGCGTTGCGCCCACCCAGCACAGCGTTTCGTGGCCCCATAGGGAACTCCACCGAAGGTCCCAGTGGGACCGCCCGCAGCATGCGTCCGCCACCGCCCAGTACAGCCCTTGCTTCCTTCGCTTCACCCACCCAATACAGCGTTTCGTGGCCCCATAGGGGGGCTTCACCGAATGTCCCAGTGGCACCGCCCGCATGCGTCCGCCACCACCCATCCCAACCCTTGCTCCCTGCGTTTCACCCACCCAGTACAAGGTTTCGTGGCCCCATAAAAGGGGGCTCCACCGAACGTCCCAGTGGCACCGCCCGAATGCGTCAACCACCACCCATCCCAGCCCTTGCTCCCTGCGTCTCGCCCAGCCAGTACAGCGTTTCGTGGCCTCAAAAAGGCACTCCACCGAAGGTCCCAGTGGGACCGCCCGCATGCGTCCGCCACTACCCAGCACAGCCCTTGCTCCCTGCGTTTCGCCCACCCAGTACAGCGCTCCGTGGCCCCATAGGGAGCTCCACCAAAGGTCCCACTGGGGCCGCCCACAGCGTCCGCCACCACCCAGCACAGCCCTTGCTCCCTGCGCTTCAGCCACACAGTACAGCGTTTCGTGGCCCAATCGGGAGGGGAGGTCCACTGAGGGCCCTACTGGCATCGCCCGCATGCGTCAGCCACCACCCAGCGCAGCGTGTCGTGGCCCCACAGGGGGCTCCACCGAAGGTTCCAGTGGGACCGTCCGCATGCGTCAGCCACCACCCAGTACAGCGTCTCGTGGCCCCATAGGGAACTCCACCGATGGTCCCAGTGGGACCGCCCGCATGCGTCAGGCCACCACCCAGCACATCGTTTCGTGGCCCGATCGGGAGCTCCACAGAAAAACCCCATTTGCACCGCCCGCGTGCGCCGTCCACCACCCAGCACTCCATCGTGGCCCCATTGATTGGGAGCTCCACCAAGCCCCAGTGGCACCGCCCGCATGCGCCCCACCCCCACCGCCCGGTAAATCGTTTCGTGGCCCCGTAGAGAGCTCCAGTGGTCCGCCCGCATGCGACCCCCCACCCAGTACACCGCTTCGTGGCCCCATAGGGAGCTCTATCGAAAGCCCCGGTGGCCGCCCGCATGCGTCCCCCCTCCCAGTACAGCGTTTCGTGGCCCCATAGGGGGCCCCACCCAGTACATCGTTTCGTGGCCCCGTAGGGAGCTCCACAGAAAGACCCCAGTAGCACAGCCCGCGTGCGTCTCCCCCTACCAGTACAGCGCTTCGTGGCCTCATCGGGAGCTCCAGTGAAGGGCACCGCCCGCCTGCGTCCGCCACGCCCAGTGCAGCGTCTCGTGGCCCATAGGGACCCCCACCGAATGCCCCAGTGGCAACGCCCGCATGCGTCTCGCCCACCCATTACGGCACGTCCCTCACACGGTTCGTGGCCCAATAGGAAGCTTCACCGCAAGCGGCACGCACAACGCTTTACTCACGACTGCAGATGGTCGGGTCCTTCGCCAGGATATTTTTCTTACTATCCTTGAGCATTCCGCCTGTAGCGGGACATGCCCGACTTAAGCGTAGGGGATCGGCTGGATAATCCCACCAGCCCTCTGGGCGCAGGTGGCTTCACGACTTTCGTCTCCTCTCTGCGAGAGCTCCCTCCTTCCCCTGCTCGGGGGAGGGGTTACCCCCCACCCCCCAAGCCCCTCCCCTGGGCCTGGAAGGGGCGCCCGAGTTGGGGATCGACTGCGGTTTACCCCGAAATTCTCCGCAGACCTACGGAGCATTCAACCCATTTTGTCAGTAGATGCGACGGAGCAATAATGTCTGGGACAGACCATTTCTGAAGTCGATCCCCTACAGTCGGACCTAGGCCAGAATAACATCCTTCAAGTACATGAGATCCTCCGCCGGCAAACACAACTGAACATCCAAGGATGCCCTCCCAAGGAAGCACAATAACACCCAACAAACACGAACACACACTAGGGCACCCTCCCCGAGCCGACCTCGACCTTATACCTCGGTCCGACTGTACATAATGGGTTTACTCAAAAAATGTTTGTTTCGTCGAAGCTGCGAACACTACGTAGGGTGCTCCGCAAATCTACGGAGCATTCGATTTTTTCGTAGATCCGACGAGACAACCCTTTCTGGGGTAGACCAATTCTGTGATCGATCCCCTACTCGAACTGTGTCTCGCGCCTTCCTGACCGCCATGCTGTAAGCCAATGCGCGTGCTCCCCTGGGGCTCCCCGATCCTTAACCCCACCGCTCCTGCCTGCCGGCTCCTCACCCCGCCCGCCCCTCCCCACTCCTGGCCATTTGCTCCTCCCCCCTGCTGGATCGCAACCTCCTGGTGCACCACCCCACACAACGCCAAGGGTCCAGCACAAGAGGAGCATGGCTCACCACGACCAGCATACGGTCGGGAACCCTTTGCTTCGCGCGCGTCGCCGCCGCGGCCCCGGCGACACGCCGTGCACCGCGAGCAATATTAGTGTGTCGCCCCGCTCCGTGGGCCGGGAGGCTCGGAGAACATCGGGCCGTTGAAGCTTGGGGACTGGGAAATGGATGGCGTGTCACGCCAAGGCGCGGTGGGCTAGAACCCGGCGGCGCGACACGCTACAGTGGGGACCCGACCACAAGAAACCTTCTACAAGAAACCTACCCCTGAGACCCCAGGACGTCCGTTCATTTTTGGTGTGGAAGCGTCGCGCTTTCCATCGCAAAACCATCGAAAGCCAAGAAACCCAGGGCACCCTGGGGGCAAACAGGGTTTTTCTTGTCGTGGGCCTCCACTATGTCCCAAAGTTCCCGACCGCGTGCCACGAGCCGGAGAGATGCGGTCGCGTTCTGGCCGTCCTCGTCCTCGTCCGCCTTGGCGCCAGGCCGCGCACCGGACCTCGGCTCCCGCTCCCAGGGCTTGCGACGGCGAGTCTTCTCTTGCAGGGAGCTGCGGCGTTTTGCCAGGCTGGGGGGCGCAGGGCCGAAAACCAGACTCCCGGACACTCCGCCTGTAAAGTAGAGGGCGGTCGGGCGGGTGCTGTCGCTCCTCCTTTCTTCCTCCTCCCCTTCCTCCTTTTTCTTCCGCCTTCGCGCCTCCACTCTTCCCTGCCTCCCACCCCTCCTCCTCCATCGTCTTCTCCCCTCCAGGCTGCGGCCTGGCCCGCAGGGCCATGTCCTGAGGGTCAACGCCCCCACCCCGGCGCCGATGGCATGCAGGCTCTGCGGGGTGTTGGCACACGGTGCGGGGTGGCGCCGCTGCCCTGCAGGGTACAAGCACTCACAGATAGCTCAACTGATAGCTCCCTCCCTCATTCTGCCCCCCCTCCCTCCTCCTTCTGCCTCCTACCTCTCCTCCTCCTCCTCCTCCTCCTGCTCCTCCTCCTACTCCTCCTCCGCCTCCTGCTCCTCCTCCTCCTCCTCCTCCTCCTCCTCTTCCTCCTCGTCCTCGTCCTCGTCGTCGTCGTCGTCCTCCTTCTCCTCTTCCTCCTCCTCCTCCTCCTCCTCCTCCTCCTCCTCCTCCTCCCTCTCGACCTCCTTGAACTTGTCCCTCTACCTTCTCCTCTTTTTTCCTCCTTCGCCCATTCTTGGTGATGGCTCTGGCCTTTATGGGCTGTCCCCCCGTGCCCTTCGATGTGGCTTTTCGGCCGTATCCGTGAGCTGACCGCATGCTCCCACTTTGACAGCTTGCTGTGCTCGTCCTTTCCCCCCTGGGGGGCTCCGCCTGCGCGCGACTTGCAATGAGCGGCGCCCAATTCGACTCTTGCCGTGATGCCGTGCACCGGCTACGGAATGGCGCTCTTCTCCTGCGCCCCTGCCTTTTTCCCCGTGCCCCGCGGCGGGGCGCCGCGCTTGGCGATGCCCCTGCGGCCTGCCCCTTGCCGCCGCCCTGGGCTCCCCGGGGCTGCTGCGGCGCCGGTGCCCCTCCCCTTGCCGCCGCGAGCTCCCGCGCCGCTGCCCCTCCCCCCTGCCAGCGCCCTGGTCCTCCGGTCGCTTGCCGCTCACGCTCTTCTGCCTGCTGGGCGCACTGAGGCTGATGGGTCCACCCCCCTGGGTGTACGGCAATGCCGACCCACAGCCGCTGCCAGGGGGCTACCCGCTGCCCTTCCCCCCGGCCGCGCCCTTGCACCTGCCGCAGCTTCACTGCGTGAGTGTGCCCCCGCGTTCCGCCCTCTTGCATGCGGGCACATTCGCGGTGCCGTGTCCCGGCTTCGCGCGCTGCGACGTAAAAGAGCTGCTCGAGTGGCCGCTTTCGGAGCCTCACCTGAATTACACTAGTGTGCTTCTGGGTCAGAGTCTCTCGCACTATTGTCTGTTCTGCTTCATGCTGTACCTGATCAGCATGTGCGCTACGAGTATTGCAATGGTTGTCAATGGGTTATAGATGCACAGTCGACCCCTGAGGCCCGCTCTGTTTCTGGGTGGGTCCCCCATTCCGATTTTTGGTGGCACATCCATTTTGAAAGCCAGTGGTAACGGCTACAATGCCATTGACGTGCGCAAGCTAGCGGCCAATCTTGGTGTCATGTCGCCCGCCCAGGCGTCACGGATGACCATCAAGACTACACGCAGTGATGCGCACGCTCGCCGTGGGGCACGGCTGCATCCCGTAGATCCGGCTGCTATGGAGCCTCGGTCCCACTCCCTGGATAGTAATTCGTCGAACATGTGGGCATGTCTGTGGCTCGCGTGGCCGCCCGAGCCCTCGAGAAGCTAGAGGGTATCCCCCGCCCAGCCCCTGCCCCCCCCCTCCGCCCTCCTCTCGCCCCCCGGGTTAATCCCTCCTCGAGGTGTGCCTCACGAGCTGGTCTGAGACCGAGACGTCCAGCGCTTCCGATGCGTGGCGTGCTGGTCGTCCAGTCGCCATAGACTTGTCTGGGCGAGATCCCCCTGCGATGCCCCTCATGGTACGGGGCAAGTGGTTCTCAAGACGGGTATGTACATATTATGTAAGGTATGTCGCTCGTACTCGTACACATATATAGCACACACACACACACACACCTTGCGGTCGGTTGCACACGGAAAACGGCCTCTGCCAAAGGCCGTGAACGTCGTGGGCGTCTGCTCGGCGGACTTTACCCGAAGCGAAATGTCTCCTTGGGCCCGGTAGTTCCCGCCACCCTCGGGATGTACAGTGAAGTCGGGGATTCCACCGCAGTTGATCCCAGTTTAGCCTTGGTCACACACCTGTAGTCCGCGCAGCGCATGGCCGTCCCCGAGGAGATGGATGACAACTGTTATGGTGATGATGTTGAATTTGTTGTGTTGATGTTGTCGCCATGTCTATGTTGGCAACGGGGAATGGAGCTGCACTCTGTTGCTGCATGCTGGTCCTTGTCCGACCGGATTGGCCATACTGCTCGTGTGTTTCACGCTTGGGCATATGCGCCAACATGCCTGCTCTTCTTCCATGCCTGTTGCACTGTTCATTTCACCCTCTCTTTCCTCGGGCCTGCCTCTTTGGAGGCAGGCCAATCCATGCTCCCTGCTCCCTGCTCCATGCTCCATGCTCCTCCTCCTCCTCCTCCTCCTCCTCCTCCTCCTCCCTCAGAGGAGGGTTGAGGTGGCGAAGGGCAGCCGAACCGAACGAGAACAAAGCCGAGGCACGGCGGACTCCGCCGCCCCCGGTGCGCCCGCCGCGCCCGGGGTATGGCAGAGGGTCCGCGGAGAGCACCGCAGCCGGGCGAGGAGCGCAGACGGACAGCTACCGACCCTTTCGCAAAACGCCTTTTGGCCACACGCCGTCTGGTGACTGTGCATTGCAAAAACTGCGGCCCGCTGCCCAGCACCGCGGAAGTCGACATCAGACTGTCCTCCGACCTCACCAGTGGAACTGCCCAGCTGTATTGCGAGGCTCCGGCGGGACTGCACCGGTGCAATCTCGGGGGGGCTTCAGAGGGCTGCGCGTGCCCGTGCCAGCCGTGCAAGTTTAGCGCGCGCCTGGCTCGTGAGGGGGGGGGCAGCTTCCAGGGGCGCACTCCACGGTTGCGCGCGGGGCCGCATTCCGAGGCGCCCTGGCGGGATGGCAAAGCGACGTCCAAGAACAAGCGAATGCACCTGTCAGAGCCCACGCCGGATTAGTGAACCTGACTGGAGACTGCACGTGTACACTCGAATGCATGTCGAATGAATCTGTGCAGATCTTCTCAGTCGACTTGTCCGGGTGGACGTTATGTCGATGCCCAGTGTTGCTGGACGAGCGTTAAGACGATTTCGTCTGCAACAGACTGGGTGCGGCACGACCTTCACCCCAAAGGGCCAGCCGAGGAACTGCTCAGGGAAAGCAGCTGCTGGGAACCACACGGTCGAAAAGGCTCGTGGCTGTGCTATGAGGGGACGGGAGCAAAATGGCAACGGTTGCGATGGGTGACCGATCCGCAGAGCAGAGCACAGCCCTGATAATGAAGCGGCCACAGCAAACAGAAATGATGAGAATAGAGACCAAGAGAACGGCAGGTGATCTTCCATATGCCCGCGCAGAATTTTGGGTCGGCGCTGAACCGACCCTCACCCCGCACCCTTTCACCGGCGCGCGGAACGCGCACGGAGCGGCGCCAGAGGCGCCGCCCAAGGCATCCGCGAAGACCGAAATCGGCGATCAACGCGTCATCCAGAATTACGTCCCCCTGCTGCTCGCAAGAGGCCCTCTTTCCTCCTGGGCCCCTTCCCAGACCTCCGAGGTCTTCATTCGTTTTTACTGCGCGGGCCCCGGCTCTCTCTACCCCTCCACCCCTGGAAAAACGTTTCGCCCTGGATCCACCACTGATGGTCCTGGGGCCCGAAGAACGGGACCCAACGGCCGAGATGGAGCAACCGAACACACACACGCCCAGGTAGACTAAAACATTGTCCTGGCGAAGGACCCAACCATCTGCAGTTGTGAGTACCGCAGTCGTGACTATCTCTTTCGGTGTAGCCCCCCAGCCGCATGCGAACGCAGCCACCGAGGCCTTCGGTGGAGCTCCATATGGGGCCTTCGGTGGAACTCCCTGTGGGGAACCGCATGCGAACGCAGCCACCGGGGCCTTCGGTGGAGCTCCCTATTGCGCCACGGAGCGTGAGCGGGGTGTGCCGAAATGGGGGTGGAACCGCATGCGAACGCAGCCACTTGGGTCCTCGGTGGAGCTCCCTGTTGGGCCACGAAACGTGTGAGGGGTGTGTGTATGGGAAGGGGGGTGGAACCGCATGCGAACGCGGCCACTGGGGCCTTCGACGGGGCTCCCTGTTGGGGCCACGAACTGAGTGAGGGGTGTGCCGAAATGGGAGTGGAACCGCATGCGAACGCAGCCACTTGGTTCTTCGGTGGAGCCCCTTCTGGGATCAAGAAACGTGTGAGAGGTGTGCCGAAATAGGGGTGGAGCAGGATGCGAAAGCAGCCACTGGGGCCTTCGGTGGAGCTCCCTATGATGCCAAGAAGCGTGTAAGAGGTGTGCCGAAATGGGGGTGGAACCGCATGCGAATGTAGCCATTGGGGCCTTCGACGGAGCTCCCTGTTGGGCCACGAAACGTGTGCGGGGTGTGCCGAAAATGGGGGGGAACCGCATGCGAACGCAGCCACTGGGGCCTTCGGTGGAGAGGGGGGTGCTGGGGTGGAACCGCATGCGAACGCAGCCACTTGGGCCTTCGGTGGAGCTCTGTTGGGCCACGAAACGTGTGATGGGGTGCAAGGGATGGGAGGAGCGGGAGGAGGGGGAGGAGAGGAGAGGAGAGGGGGCGCTGTCTCTTCAAAACGAGGACCCGACACCACAGGATGGCTGGGGACCAAAAGTGGCCGCGAGCAGTCTGGGCTCCCAGACCCCCAACGTGGTGTTCGTGTTGCAGCGTTCGGGGGTGGCAAAGAGGGGGGTGTCCAAGAGGGGGGGGTGCAAATCATGACCGGCGGCATGTGCGCGGCCCAGCGGGGGGGCCAGAGACGTAATGAAATAAGAAGAGGCGCCATGACATCTGGGGAAATATCATGGCCCCCGCCATGATATACCCCCCCCTAGTCATCACCCCCCTCTTTTCCGCCACCGAGCCTCCGGAGGTCGGAACCCCTTTCCCGGGACGGGCTGCGGTGCCCGACCGCCCCAGGACGCCGGTGGAGGCCCACGGAGGCCACAGACTGCGCACACCGCCCGTCGTGCTCGTCCACGGCGCGAGGAGGTCGGCTCTATGGGGCCCCGTCGTGGGCCTCGCGCGGCCGCTCGGGCACTCCCGGGGCGCTCCCGTCGCAGCTGTTGGCAGGCATGGCGAGGCGGGAGGGCCTCTGCCAGCCAACGAAAGCCTTACAAAGATCGAGTGCAGTCGGGGCGTTGACCTAAGGAACCCTAAATAAGGAACGAGGCCCCTCTTTTCCATAAGTTTAACTTCGATTTCCCATACGAGAACCTAAGGGGAACCCAGGGCAAACTGTAAAACAATCACGGAACACCGAGCCCCTCCCCAACGAAAAGCGTTCCTTCTTCAGGGCCCCGACTGTAGGCGATCGGCTACAGAATTGACGTGCCCCAAATCTGACCTTCCCGCCGAATCTTCGGGCAACTGCGTAGAATGTTCTGTGAGTCGACGGAACATTCGACGTGTCTTTCGCAAAGTCGGCGGGAAAAACAAGTTGGGGGTAAATCGATGCTGTGGTCGACCCCCTGCTCGAACAACACCAACCAAATCCAAGCAGGCCTCCCGCATGGGCTCAGAGCAGATGGGGCCGGAAGAGACAGCACCGCACCGCCGATGCACCTGCGGTGCTGCGCGAGATGCGGCGCCCGCTCTTCTCCGCCGAGGGCGCCGATGCAGCGCAGACGTCGCCGATGCATCGAAGATGCATCGGCGATGCGGCGCGATCCGTCGACCACACGAGCCTGTTGTCTTGTTATTCGCGATAACGGGCGTAATCGGGGGAGAAAGGGGGGGGAGTTCGTCCCCCCCGATTACATCACGGCGGGGGGCCGCTGGCGGATCATAGGACTTCCCTATAAGAATCCGTAGGACATCCTTGAACACGCGGCAAAACAACTGCGTGACTTGATCCCGGGGAGGGGGGAGGGCGAGGGCCGACCACGGCCGTTATCGCACAGAACCTTACAACAACAGGCTCCATCTGTAGAGGCCTCCGAAATGCGGTCCGAGTAGATGGGGTGGGAGGATTGCCGCATCGCCGATACATCGGCGATGCATCGCCGATGCATCGGCGATGCATCGGCCATGCACTGGCGATGTCGGCGATGCATCGGCGACGTCGGCGTGGAGAAAACTGGGCCCCACATCGAGTCGCATCGCCGATGCATCGGCGATGCGGCGCGACCGACCCCACCTGAGAGGAGGCCCATGGACTCCTGGAGGCCCCTGCGGAAGCCCTCCGCTCCGCGCAGTGACCCGCTCCCCCTCCTCCTCCTCCTCCTCCTCCTCCTCCTCCTCCTCCTCCTGATGCTCATCCTCCTGATGGCGGGGGTTCTTGGGGCCTCCAGGGGAGGAGGCAAATGAACAGGAGGCGGAGGAGGAGGCGGAGAAGGAGAAGGAGCAGGAGGAGGAGGAGGAGGAGGAGGCGGAGGAGGAGGAGGAGGAGGGGGAGGAGGAGAAGAAGGAGCAAGAGGAGGAGGAGGAGGAGGAGGAGGAGGAGGAGGAGGAGGAGGAGGAGGGAGGAGGAGCAGCAGAGGAGGAGGAGGAGGAGGAGGAGGAGGACGAGGAGGAGGAGGGCGAGCCGCGCGGTGCCTCCGCGGGCGCCCCTCCGCGCCGGCCGCGCCCGGCAGCAGGCGCCGCTCCAGCTTGCGGCGCTGCCGCTCCGTCAGGCCGTCGCCGTCGTCGCTCTCCTGGCCCGGGGGGCCGCCCGGGCGGAGGGCGGGCGCCCATTGCGGGCGCCCGGCGCCTCGAGGAGTCGAGCTCGCGTCTTCGGCCCGCGCCGCGAGCCCCCCCCCCCCCCAACAAAAAAAAAAAGCGGCCCCCCCGCGTAGGTCCGGCGCTCCAGAAACTCTGGAGCGGGCGATGTCTGGGTCGGAGGTTGGGGGGTGAGATCGAAGTGGAACGGAGAGCCCCCCTGCCGGGAAGTCGATCTCGGTTCCGTGCTCGTGCCGTGCGTGCGGGCGAGGCGAAGCTGCGTGGGCGGGGGAGAGGAAATTCTCCTGTGGCTGGGCCGCGGCGGGACCAAAAAAAAGCTTCTCCGCCGGGCAACCGGTGGCGGGCGGTGTCCCGCCAGTGTCCAGCCAGTGTCCCGCTGGTGTCCCGCTGGTGTCCCGCCGGTGTCCCGTCGTGGCTGGGCCGCGGCCGGACCAGCCCCAGCCAGGACCCCCCTCTTTTCCCGACCTGATTCTAGGCCTCCCAGGTCGGGCGGGAGCAGATGCAGTCGGAGGATCGCGCCGCATCGCCGATGCATCGGAGCGCCTGCTGCCCGTCGGGTGCCCCCTGTCCAATTGGGCCTCCCGGGTGGGGTCCGAGTAGACGGGGGTCGGAGGATCGCGCCGCATCGGCGATGCATCGCCGGTGCATCGCCGATGCCTCGCCGACGCATCGCCGATGTACGGCGATGCGGCGCGATCCTCCGACCCATCTGCGGGCGTGTCCCCCCTACAGGGGGATTTTGGACGAAAAATAAAACATACCTAAGAAATATTCAAAAGATGCTCAAAAATACTCAAACAATTGTCCCCATACCACTTCTTGATTATTTTTGAATACTCCTCCTGCAGAGGGAGAGGCCCGACTCAAGCCTAGAATCAGGTCGGGAGTGGGGGGTGGGGTCCTGGCTGGGGCGGGGGAGGGGGGTGGGTCGTGCTGTGCTCCCGTCCTCCGTCGCGCACCTGCCCCGCGTGTGGGGGGGCGGGTCCTGGACCCTGCACTTGCCACGGCTCGGACGTCCCTTCCCCGTGCACCTCTCGTGACGTCGGGCCTGCCCCTCTACAGGGGGAAGACTCAAAAGTAGACAAAAAATAGTCTGGGGGCTATTTTTTTAGCATTTTTTGACCATTTTGGAATCTCTTTGGGGTACTGCATCGAACATCCCCCTGTAGGGGGACACGCCCGACTTAGATTTCTCGGTCACGGCGGCGAACAGCCTCCAGGCCTTCCGGGCCCGTTTCCCTCGGGGCCCGTTCCGCCCCGGGGCGAGCGTAGGACCTGCTCCCAGAACAGCTGGGCATACCGCAAACGGATCCATCTGCCCCTTCTCAAACCTTGCACCGCGCCGGAGGCACAACGGTCACGTCGTCCGTGGACGTGTCCACCCCGAAAGTGCCTCTGGACGTCACGGCACCCAATGTGTCCACAGGCGCTTTTGGCTAGGACGTGAGAACGGTATTTGGCATGGGCCCCAGGTGCTGGTCTTCTAGAAGCAGGCAGGTTGTGCCTCCAAGGCCGAAGTACGCCAAGTTCGTGCAGTGCCGACTTCGGCGCTTGTTCCTGATACCGCGGGGATCGTTCAACCTGGAAAGATCGGCCGTGTCCGAAACGTCCAATCGTTCAACATCGATCGATTCTGGGTCGCCGGCGGCGCTCAACGTGTAGCCCCAGCGGAGGTGGGGTCGGAGGACCGCGCCGCAGCGGCGGTGCATCGGCGACGCCAACGCAGAACCAAAGCAGGCTCCGCATCGAGCCGCATCGGCGATGCCGAACTTTGACACCGTGCCACACAGCAAAAAGAAACAATATGATCTCCACATTTTGAAAACGAGTCGCCCTCAATCCGTGAAATGTGTGTCAATTTTTGGAACGAATGCGCGCGGCGCTAAGGCGAGAGCCACATCATCCTCTAAATGCCGGAATGACGCTTCCAGTGCGGGGGATTTTTTAACTATATCTATATATATATATATATGTATAAAGGAGCAAGAGATGGGAGCGGACAGCGATACTATACACGCCTCATGATCTTCGCAAGGCTGTCCTGCGAACGTGGCCGAAACTCCAGCCAAAAATTTGGGCAAAGGGGAAGTGTTATCTGTTTGCCAGAGGGGGGGGTATCTGATAAACTTCCTGGGGTTATCCTGTGTCCCACGCTCGGACCCCGCTTGGGAGGCCCAGGATATCGAGGCGGCTGGTCTGCCGCCACTATCTTTTTTTTGCCCTCGTATAGAGACCAGCCGCCGAAGCTTGCGACTGTCAAAGAACGACTCGGGGTGAACAGCCGGCAAACTGCGCCCTCTCAACGGGCCCTGGGACCGTTCTGGAAACGGACCAGGATGAAAACCTGGAATCCTGGGGAAGAGGTCGAGACCTCGGAATCGGGGGTTGACCGAACCCTCCTGAATCAAATACACCGCCCTTTGACGAGAGCTGCGCTGGGCACACTCCACGGGTACGCACGGCACTGCCTTCCGGGTGCACCTGGGCGAAATAGCCCCATCGACGTCCAGCAACTGCATGATGTATCCGTCAAAGCACGCGTCGATTAGCGAAACTCGGAGGGGGACAGCACCGGCACACTGCGAATGTCAATGTTGAGTGCATCGGTGCAGACCTCCTCAATCGACTTGTCTGGGTGGGTCTTCTCTCCATGTCCGAAGGAGGAGTCCCTGGAGGGGTAGGAACTCTGAGATTCGACGTTGCGCCAAAATTGCAGCCTCGCAACAAATCCCGTCCGGAGACCCGGACCCAATCTTTCTGCGCCATTGTTCGAGCCGGATCGACATGTGAGGGTCCCGAGATCTGAAACCGAGCGGAAACGCCCGACTCGAACAATAGTGGCACTCTAGGATCTCAGGGAAGCCTCCGATCGTGTCTGGATGGGCTGGTGGAGAGACGCGAAGGCGCCACGAGTTCCTCAATTGACTTGTCAGGGTGGGTCTCCTCTGAATGCCCAAAGGAGGAGTCCCTGGATCGGGTAAGATTAGGTTTGTGGATGCCATGACAGTGGACACTCGAACAATCCGATCATTGAATTAAAGACATGTTCAAAATGCGTAAGCCATGTTCTCAACATGTTTCAAACATGTTGTTTAACATATATAAAACATGTTTGAAACATCTTTTAGACATCTGGAATTTATTTGGCAGCATGCTTCTTCTCCATTAATCGACCTCCACAAGATTAGGTCGGGCATGTCCTCCTACAGGCGGGTTTAGGAAGACAAATAAAACATGGTAACAACAAATCAACAATAGTCAAACATAGTAGAAAAATCGTTCCCATACTATCTTTTATTTTTCTCGAATGTTCCTCCTATAGAGGGACATGCCGGACTGAAGGGTAGGAGTGGTTGACCCTGTCGGGGGGGGAGGAGGCCCCCTGGGGACCCGGTGCGGGAGCAGCTCCCCTTGGGGCGGGGGCGGCTTGGGCCGGGGCCGCCTCCTAGCGGCACCCCCGGGCAGACCCAAGGAGCACGATCAGGGATCTATACTGACCTGGGTCAAGCCAAACCCAGGTGGGCCCCCCCTCCTCCTCCTCCTCCTCCTCCTCCTCCTCCTCCTCCTCCTCCTCCTCCTCCTTCTCCTGCGTCCAGGTGGGTCGGGCCTTGCAGGATCCTGCAAGATCAGGCAGGATCCTGCGCCCTAGCCCGGGTCAGTGCGATCCTGGCCCTGCAGAATTCTTGGAAGAAGAAAAAAGCGGCATGAACATAAGATTTTGGCGTTCCGCGCGGATCTCTTGGATCTGCGCCAGACCCCCTCTCTGGCGCGCAGAGCGCGCCAGGGGCGGCACCGGAGGCGCCGCCAGGGGGGCCACAATGCGGATCCAAGAAGTCCGGGCTGAGCGCCAAAAGTTTTGGTTTATGGCGTTCTTTCTCTGTCGAATGCTGCAAGATCTGGCGCTCTGACTGACCCCCGCTTGCATTGACCACCGTCTCTTTAGCCCCGACACGAAGGCCTCCAGGCCCCTCCAGGGTTCCAGAGCTGGCCGACATCAGCGCGCCCCCGCAAACACGCTGGCTTCAGCTCGAGCAGGAGATCGACTAAAGAGCTGATTTGCCTCAGGATTGCTTGTTTCGTCGAAGCTGCAAGGAAACTGCGTAGAATGTTCCGCACATCGTAGATTCGACGAGGCAACTATTTTTCGGGTAAGCCGATTCTGCAGTCGATCCCCTACCCGACCAGCGCCCCGAAGATCGGGCGACATCTCCGCCAGCGACCCTGCGCACCAGAGATCGTGCGTGCCCACCACGCGCCTCACAGCCACACGCACAATGCAAACATCCTGGTCGGGCGTCGATAACACTGGGGGGCGATGAAGGGGGGGAGAATTCCCCGTTGGGCCCCAGGGGACTCCTTCGGGACCCCCGTAGGGTACAATCGGCGCAGCGTGATTCCACCCCCCCCAATTGCGCAACGCCCGAGCTGCCAGCACGCAGAGGTCTCCGGAGGTCTGCGGAGGCCACGCGAGGTCCACGCGGAGGTTCCTGGAAGCCTCCAGAGGCCTCTGGGGGCCGGATGCCTCCACAGCCCCCCGATCAAGACTGATGATAGTGCTCCCCACTCTGATTCCACAACCACACGAGACTGGAGGCACCGCGGCTGATACTGGCGTGTCCCAGTCTCTCGATCACGCAATACTGGCTAAGAGCGGCGTTTGGTAGGAAGAGGGCGGCGTCGCTGGTCGTCTCATGGTATGCTGTACTCCTTATGAGCGTGTTGCCTTAGCGCCCCTACAATTTCGACGTTCTGACCACAACGATAATGCACTGGGCGCTTGAAATATCAAGCGTCTTGTGATGCACGTGTGTGCGATGTCGTGGGGGGCAGGGAAGAGGGCAGAGGTTACGTGTGATCACATGCGCGCGAGGCGACGGAGCCGACGTCGATCGATGGAGGATCGAGATTGCAGGGTCGAGGCGTTTTGATGTTTTCTTGGCTGGGGGGCCTTCGTGGGCGCTCTCGCGGCCACGCCTGGACCCACCTCGGAATTCTGGTCGGTATGCGCCTATTGACAGGCCGGGGTTGGAGGGGACATGGAGGGGAGGAGGTCGGGGGAAGCGGAGGGAAGGCTCATCGCGCTAGCACAGCCAGAAGCGAAGTGAAGGCTCACCGTGCAAGCCGTGCCGGACAGCCAAAAGCGCCTCGCACATGAATTGTGGGGGTGCATGCGTGATTGCGCACGCGCAATCATCTTGCCATTGTGACGTGAACACGCAAAACATCATGACAACCCGAAGACCCTCCCCATTTTCATCAACGATTCATTTTCTGACGTGCCCAATGCGCCACGCACTCCCTGCGAAGCGAGACAACATATGAGTACGCGACTCGGAAAGAGCAAGCTGCATCTTCACGGCTCGCCTCGTCCACGTCCTTCTGGTCCCTCCTGCCGCCATCGAAGAAGCCAAGCGCCCGCTTGATCATGCCCAAGCGCGCTTGGCAGTGTGCGGCAACAGTGGGCCAGCGCTCAAGGCGGCTCTCGCTGCGAAAGTCTTAGAGCCTGAACGGCCATAACCGATCGCGCAAGCTGTTGGCCTCACCCGTGGCAACAGACGCGAAGCGTGTGCGCCTTCCCCCGCGACATATTTGTTTTGTTTTGGCGTGATCCCCCAGGGTCCTCGACCCCTTCCCCTGCGCCAGCGTTCCACCCCGAGAAGGTTTTCGACGGTCCTGGGACCTAGGATCCAGAATCGGCGCTCGGACATCGGACACTGCAACAACCTTCAGCGCGAGTTTGTCGAATCGCCACAACCATTCCCCAAGACCTCCAAAGTCTCCGCAGATCCACAGTGTGTCCGGAGCCAGAACATGGCGAAATTATCGCGGTACGCTTTTCCCGAATCCTCATCTTCTGTTGTTGTGGTACCTCGTTTTGAATCCGTGGCGCCGCCCGTATCCTCTCTCACCCACTCACTCCCTCAACCACCTCTCCCTGTCTCCGCTCTCCGTCCACATGACATGTCGGGAATCTCCTCACACGTTTGTACTGAGACAAGGCGCTCCACTTCGGGCACCTGTAGGTGCAACCGCGTGAGGGCCCGCCTTCATCTCGGCAAACCCCTCACGCAAGACATGTTTTTTCCCAACCCTCCTTGGTTGGGTATTCGTTTTGGCTAGAGGGGTGTGGTCGCGTCTTTCTCCTCCCGCCTCCCGCCTCCTCCTGCCCTCTCTTCGCCCACGATGTGGGCTGCGATCTGCGAAACTGTCGCCAATTTCGAGGGCTGCTGGTGGGTCCAGCGGAGTGAGGCACCGCGCAGATCTGAGCGGGACCTCGCCGTGCCTGGGGGGCTGCGATCTGCGAAACTGTCGCAACTTTCGAGAGCTGCTGGTGGGTCCTGCGGAGTGAGGCACCGCGCAGATCTGAGCGGGACCTCGCCGTCCCTGGGGGGCTGCGATCTGCGAAACTGTCGCCACTTTCTACTAGGGCTGCTGGTGGGTCCTGCGGAGTGAGGCACCGCGCAGATCTGAGCGGGGCCTCGCCGTCCCTGGGGGGCTGCGATCTGCGAAACTGTCGCCAATTTCGAGGGCTGCTGGTGTGTCCTGCGGAGTGAGGCACCGCGCAGATCTGAGCGGGACCTCGCCGTCCCTGCGGGGCTGCGATCTGCGAAACTGTCGCCACTTTCGAGGACTGCTGGGGCACCGCGCAGATCTGAGCGGGACCTCGCCGTCCCTGGGGCGCTGCGATCTGCGAAACCTTCGCCACTTTCGAGGGCTGATGGCGGGTCCTGCGGAGTGAGGCACCGCGCAGATCTGAGCGGGACCTCGCCGTCCCTGTGGGGCTGCGATCTGCGAAACTGTCGCCGCTTTCGAGGGCTGCTGGTGGGTCCTGCGGAGTGAGGCACCGCGCAGATCTGAGGGGGAACTCGCCGCGCCTGGGAGGCTGCGATCTGCAAAATTGTCGCCACTTTCGAGGGCTGCTGGTGGGTCCTGCGGAGTGAGGCACCGCGTAGATCTGAGCGGGACCTCGCCGTCCCTGGGGGGCTGCGATCTGCGAAACTGCCGCCACTTTCGAGGGATGCTGGTGGGTCCTGCGGAGTGAGGCACCGCGCAGATCTGAACGGGACCTCGCCGTCCCTGGGAGCTGCGATCTGCGAAACTGTCGCCACTTTCGATGGCCGCTGGCGGGTCCAGCGGAGTGAGGCACCGTGCAGAGCTGAGCGGGACCTTGCCGTGCCTGGGGGGCTGCGATCTGCGAAACTGTCGCCACTTTCGAAAGCTGCTGGCGGGTCCAACGGAGTGAGACACCGCGCAGATCTGAGCGGGACCTCGCCGTCCTGGGGGGGCTGCGATCTGCGAAACTGTCGCAACTTTCGAGGGCTGCTTCGGGGGGCAGCATAGCGATCTGCGGAACTGTCGCCACTTTCGAAGGCTGCTGGCGGGTCCTGCGGAGTGAGGCACCGCGCAGATCTGAGCGGGACCTCGCCGTCCCTGGGGGGCTGCGATCTGCGAAAGTACCGCCACTTTCGAGGGCTGCTGGTGGGTCCAGCGGAGTGAGGCACCGCGCAGATCTGAGCGGGACCTCGCCGTCCCTGCGGGGCTGCGATCTGCAAAATTGTCGCCACTTCCGAGGGCTGCTGGTGGGTCCTGCGGAGTGAGGCACCGCGTAGATCTGAGCGGGACCTCGCCGTGCCTGGGGGGCTGCGATCTGCGAAATTGTCGCCACTTTCGAGGGCTGCTGGTGGGTCCTGCGGAGTGAGGCACCGCGCAGATCTGAGCGGGACCTCGCCGTCCCTGGGGGGCTGCGATCTGCGAAACCGTCGCCACTTTCGAGGGCTGTTGGCGGGTTCAGCGGAGCGAGGCACCAGGCAGATCTGAGCGAGACATCGCAGCCCTTGGGGGGCTGCGAGCCCCACGAATGCCGCTCGCAGAAGTATATGCGCCCATGTCACGTCATCACCTCCGTATAACGTCTCCCAAGCTACTCATGCCCCGCATTGCGCAGGGGTTGGGTACGTCGCCAGGGTAATTACCTAACAGCTTTTGCTGATAGGTTTCTAGTAGGGTCAAAAGAGAGCATCATGACTCCTCAGAGGGGTCTGGGCGGGTGCCGGGGAGGAGAACCGGGAATCGTTTTTCGCCAACAGTCACACACTTCGTGCTCTTCGACCTCCCAGAACTCCATTCCCGGGCCACATTCTGGAGAACCGGGAACAGAGCCGGGCTCGCTTTTCGCCAACAATCACACACTTCGTGCTCTTCGACCTCCCAGAACTCCATTCCCGGGCCACATTCTGGAGAACCGGGAACAGAGCCGGGCTCGTTTTTCGTCAACAGTCACACACTTCGTGCTCTTCGACCTCCCAGAACTCCATTCCCGGGCTACATTTTGAGTGCCCGGAGCCAACTGTAGGCCACTTCGTGCTCTTCGAGTTCCCAGAACTCCATTCCCGGGCCACATTTTGGATGCCCGGAGCCAACTGTAGGCCACTTCGTGCTCTTCGATTTCCCAGAACTCCATTCCCGGGCCACATTTTGGATGCCCGGAGCCAACTGTAGGCCACTTCGTGCTCTTCAAGTTCCCAGAACTCCATTCCTGGGCATGATTTTGAATGCCCAGAGCCACATTCCTGGGCCACATTTTGAATGCTGAGGCAGGCTGATGCTGCGGCCGAGGCAGGCTGAGGCTGAGGCAGGCTGAGGCTGAGGCCGAGGCTGAAGGCAGACTGAGGCTGAGGCTGAAGCAGACTGAGGCTGAGGCTGAGGCAGGCTGAGGCTGAGGCTGAAGCAGGCTGATGCTGAGGCAGGCTGAGGCTGAGGCTGAGGCTGATGCAGGCTGAGGCTGAGGCAGGCTGAGGCTGAGGCCGAGGCTGAAGGCAGACTGAGGCTGAGGCTGAAGCAGGCTGAGGCTGAGGCTGAGGCAGGCTGAGGCTGAGGCAGGCTGAGGCTGAGGCTGAGGCAGGCTGAGGCTGAGGCTGTGACTGCGACTGCCGTTGCCGCTGCGACTGTCATCGCGAATGCGACTACGACTGCGAGAACAGCAGAATTCTACAACTGGATTTTCATCTGAATCTTAAGGGGAATGCTTTCAGATATGCTTCTACATATCGCTGTTAGGTTGCTTTGCCGGGATAATTTTTGTCTGACGTTTGTCAGTGTATAGGCACTTTGCAGAGGAACGCGCTCGGTGAAAAAGGGGTCACAGTGGGCGCACACGGACCCGCTCTCCTCCTGGCACTGCGTTTCACCCACCCAGCACAGCGCTTCGTGGCCCCATAGGGAGCTCCACCGAAGGCCCCAGTGGCAACGTATGGCGGCCCCGGGCTATTTCGGAACACCCCTCACGAGGATCGTGGCCCCATAGGGAGCTCCACCGAAGGCTCCAGTGGCAGGGTTCGTATGGCGGCCCTGCGTTTTGGCGCACCCCTCACACGGTTCGTGGCCCCATAGGGAGCTCCACCGAAGGCCCCAGTGGCAGGGTTCGCATGGCGGCCCCGCCCCATTTCGGCACACCCCTCATAATTATGGTTCGTGGCCCCAGCTCCACCGAAGGCCCCAGGCAGTGGCAGGGTTTGGCGCATGGCGGCCCCATAGGGAGCTCCACCGAAGGCCCCAGTTCGCATGGCGGCCCCGCCCCATTTTGGCGCACCACCTCACCCCACAGGGTTCCGTGGCGCCCCCCACATTGGGGCTTCGAGGCTGCAGTGGCAGGGTTCGCATGACGACCCCGCCCCATTTTGGCGCACCCCTCACACGCTTCGTGGCCCCATTGGGAATCCCCTTGCTTCGTCCCACCTGCCCTGCATGTTTCTCTTTCATGTTTCTCCTGCAGAGGGACATGCCCGACTTAAGACAACGCTCCATGGCCCCTAAGAGCAGCAGGGCAGGCCCGGGCGCGCGAGGCCTGTGAGCACGGCGGCCGCGGGGCAGCCTCCCCCACCCGCGCGAGGCCGACCTCCTCGACGGGCTCCCGAGCAGGAGCGGCAGACACACCACGACGTGTGTGTGTGTGTGTGTGTGTGTGTGTGTGTGTGTGTGTGTGTGTGTGTGTGCGTGTGTGTGTGTGTGTGTGTGTGTGTGTGTGTGTGTGTGTGTGTGTGTGTGTGTGCGTGTGTGTGCGTGCTTACACGAGCTTGCGTGCTTGCGTAGCCCCCAGAGATTGCGTGCGTCGCGTGCGTGCGCGTGCGCGTGCGCGTGCGCGTGTGTGTGGCGTGTGGTTGGATGGTGCGTGCGTGCGTGCGTGCTGCGTGCGTGTTTGTGTGGTGTGTGTGTGTTGTGTGGGTGTGTGTTGTGTGTGTGTGTGTGTGTGCGTGTGGGTGTGTGTGTTGAGGTAAGAGTGTGAGTGTGAGTGGGATGTGTGTGGGTAGCCTGCGTGCGCGCGCGCGCGTGCGTGCGTGCGTGTGGCGTGCTTGCGCGCTGAGTGATTGATGTGCTTGAGTCGATGACAGTCGTGCGTGTGAGTGTGCGTAGTGAGTATTTGTCGAATA